GCGCCGCCATTCCCCCCCCTTGGCCCAGCTGAGACCTGGGCTAGTGGACACTGGCCCAGGTCTTAAAAAGGTTGCCGGTCCCTGTTCTAGAGAGATCATTCTGGCTCAAGGATCTAATTAGAGCTCTCAGGGTCATGACAACTACATAGGAAAGTTGAAGAGAGGTTGAAGACTATACACAACTACAAAGTTATGTGGGAATTCTAAATTCACTTCCACTGAAAGCCACATTTAAGGCACTTAGGTTAGAACACTATTATGAATTTCAACAAAAAGAAACCCACAGAATCAATGAAATTTGCCTACATGTTGATTCAATTGATTTAATCGACTTATTATTGAATTCAACAACTAGTTCAATTGGTTTATTCTTTCTGGGAATAACCAAGAGAATTCACACCATATATAATCTGGAAGACCATATACAGTGGGCCCTTGGTATCCTAGGATCCCCTGTGGATATCAATTTGTGGATGCTCTAGTCCCATTAAATATAATGGCATAGTTAAATGGTGTCTCTTATATAAAATGACAAATTTCAAGGTTTGCTTTAGGAATTTTTTTTTAAGATTTTCAAACTGTGGGTGGTTTAATCCATAGATAAAAAAATCTGTGGATATAGAGGGCCAACTGTACATTAATCAGAGAGAAAGCCTCCAACAGTCGTCCTGATGAGGTGCCACCAGTGTGCTGATAGTGCCCAGCTCTAATTTCCCTTTCCACCCAGTTCCAAAGAAAGGGTTTTTATGCTAAACTGGTGCCTAGCACCTGTAATGGATGAAGGTGAAAAAACTGAAGCTTAATCCATATAAGGTTCCTGGTCTGATCAGTGAATAGTGATTCAGTCAACTGGATGACGTTATGCACCCATAGAAATCTCAGCTTTGTATCTTGGGCATATTCCTGGATTCAACCCTGAGCCCGGAGGTTTGGTGGTGGCTGGAAATATGTTTGCATGGTTAAAAGTAGAGTGTAAGCTGTGTTCATACCTGCAGAAGCCTCATTGGGTCATGATCACATGCCTTGGTTACATACCATTTGGACTACCACCATCACAGGTACATCTGGTGGGAACACAAGAGAGGGTCTTCTCAATGGCTACCCCCAGGCTCTGGAACTCCCTTTCTAGAGAAGTTAGACTGCCACCCTCTCTACTTCCTCTTCACAAACAAGTAAAGATTTTTCTATTCTGACCAGCATTTGACTATATAAGGCCCAAGTCACACAGTTTGCTGGATATTGATAATTGTTATGCTTGTGCATATGTATGTGTGTGTGTTTTAAGGAGGTATGTTTTAATCTTGATGTTTTAATGTTGTGCCTCCCTACCTTTCTCTGGTTTTGGCTTGCCTACGGCTTGTACTTGTTTGCAATTCTTTTAATTATCTTAATTTCTTTCCTGAGATTTCATGTCAATTTTTAATATATGTAGTTGAATACTTTTTTAAGGGGGAGGGCAGGGTTGTGGGGTTTTAGTTTGTACTTTTGGTGTAATTTTAACTGTTGTAAGCCACCCCAATTGTTTTTAACAGAGGGGCGGGGTATAAATAATAATAATAATAATAATAATAATAATAATAATAATAATAATAATAATAATAATAAAAAATCTAATTTGAATTTTGAATGATCGTGCAAAGATTATCAGACACATTGTGCTTATCCTGTGATTATCCTGTCAATGAAGAGGAATTATCACGTCACTTCAGTATTAATGGATCATCTCATTATTAAGAAATGGAGGTAAATGATGGGACAATTTTTCTTCATTGACAGGATAATAACAGGATAATCATAACGTCGTCTGATAATCTTCGCGCAATTGCATAATAAGGATGGGAGCATTGCACTTCACCCCGATAATCTACATAGTTAGAAAGTCCCTTTTCATTAATGGGAGAAACACATCAATGAACTTGCAATCATGATTGTCCCCAGGTACGAAATTTTACTGCCAGGGCAGCTGCATTATTAGCAGCCACATAGTATCAATGTTCCCTCCTCTCCCCCCTCCCCATCACTATTCCCAAGCAGGCTGATTTCCTTCAGAACTCTGGAATTGCATGGAAAAAAGGGGGGCATGCTTAGTAGGGCATAGAGCAGGGTGGTGAGACTAAAGGTGAGTCCAGAAGAGTGTGTGATGGCAGCACCAGCCCAGTCACACAATTGCCAAGACATGCAAAAATGGATGCTCACAAACAGGTATAATTATATATTTAAAAAAAAAAAAAACCAAACCAACATGATCGCAGTGAGAATGGGGCTCATGTGGACTGTTCAATGTCTTTAACTGTTGTAAGGCACTTTGAATCCTGATCTGGAAAAGAGCAAGATAATAATAATAATAATAATAATAATAATAATAATAATAATAATAATAATAATAATACACTCTTTGTGGGGGTTCCTGTGAAATGTACTAAGAAACTTCAATTGGCCCAAAAATGTGCAGACAGATTGTTAGCTGTGGCTGCTACAGGGAATTTTTGCATTATTTAACAACAGAGTTGATTCACTCTGTACCCTTTCTTTTTAAATAAATAAATAAATAAAAAGTGATCATAATATGTGAGGAAAGGGGGAAAGAATCACAGATGTAACTGGCTTGAGAGAACATGCCTGTAGTTTTTTTTCCAACAGTGGACAGATTTCTAAAATAGCTTCTGATAAAAAGTAATTAATCTAAGTCCCTCAGAAGAAAAGGTTATGGTCTAGGGACTCTGTAAAGAAGCAAGAGTCCTTTAAATGTTAAACATTGCTGGGTTTATGGAATACTTGAGCTCTAGTCCTTATCACTTATTATTTTGCTGCCAGAACCAAGATGTGAGTGATAGAGAAAGGCTCATAAGGAAAAAGGGAGACAGAATTCAAAATGAATTTCTAGATAAAGAAAAGTCAGGTCATGGCATGCAAAAAGTGAAATCTGTGAAATAAATTAATCAATCAATAATAAAATAAATAACAGTATTCATAACTCATTGTTTTGTGATTCCCCTCTCCCAATTACTTCTAATGAGCAAAAAACAAAAACAAAAACCAAACAACTCATACCTGGTCGCTTTCCTTCCAGAAGAGGAGAAAATCTTCTATTTATTTATAAAGTGTTCAGGTTGATCAGAGACTGTTTGGATTCAGAATCACCACACATTCCAGAAATGACATTTCCCAGGATTCCTTTAGAGATGGCGGTAATGCTTGCAAGTAGCAGGATCTTAATGTGTTTGTGTGTTCTACTTCTGCTTATTTCTATTAAGATCCGAATGTCACTATTCCAACATTCCCAGTCTTTTCATGATTAGTAAGGTATACTTCACACTGTTGTCATGATCCTGCACCTCTACGATCAGCACTCAGGAGACAAGGCTGATGATGACATACTGTTGGTTAAGAATGCAACTGCTGTCCTTCTTATTGCTCAAAGTTTTTCAGAACAACAGCCCAGGCCTGCAGCACTAAAAACTGACTCAAGAATGGCTCAAATCTAGGAAGTAAGGTATGCTCTGAGCTCAAGTATGGATATTAGCTTGGCTTTATTCTGTTGTGACCTTCACTAAAGAACCATACAGAAAAGTTAGGAAATGCATGAGAATATATAAATATTTTGGGGAGATGAACCTATATACTGTATCTCTATGGACAAGAAGCCTGCTTTCCCCACCTCAACCTCTCTTCCCACCTTTTTTATTCCTACTGCTGAACTTCAGCTTCATGCTGCTTAGGCTATCAAACATGGGAAACTGAATCTTTTTTTCCTAATGCATCAGGGATCAGTATGGTACTTGTCTCCACTGGCTACAACTGTTTCTTTCCTGGGAAGGTGCTGTGGGTCACTACTTCACGCACCACTACTTTGAACAGCACTTCTTTAGACTGTAAGGTTCTCAGGTCAAAAACTTGTACATCACTCTTCATACATTTTATGGAACCTCTTGTGTTAGGAAGAGAAGAGAATGTGCCAAATTGGTTGGGGGATATAATAGAGAGCTGTCTCAAACTACTATGAACACCACCATGCAAGGTGGAAGTACTCCCCAACTACTCAAATGCTACCCAAGCATCTTTCCAACAAAACAAGGGCCTCCTTCCTCTACAGATATTATGCCTCCCCTCCAAAAATAATCCCCTGAGAAATTAGCAGGAGTATTGTTTCATGTGTACCATAACAACCTGGAGATGCTAAGCTCCACAGTGTAAAAATGTCACACATGTTTGGGTGCAGGCATGTTATGTGCATGTGAATACCCTTCCCCATCAGATGCAGGAGGAGATGGAAAGGGACTAAGAATCAGCAATCTTGAAATGCTAGTGGGAATAATACACTGGCTGAGAACATAGGACAGGAGGCTTCCCTGATGCAGTGGTCCTGGTTGTGGCGTGCACTCTCCTTGGAAGCCTGATCAGCACTGGATTTGGTTTCATTCAGTTGCCATATTAAAACACAGATCTTTATTAAAGCCTTTGGAGCCTCATGGATTCATCCATATCTCTGCATGCATGCACATGGTTTTTAAAATGTTAGCTTGCTTTATCTTTTTACATGGTTTAATGCCTTTTAGCTTCTTTCTTATTTTAAATCTTGAATTGTTTAAATAAATGTTTAATTATATGCTGCCCTGAGATCCTATCACATAGTGCAGATGATACTTTTTAAAAAATAAATTAACAGACCAGAACAATTATCAAAAATGCCTCAGATTCAAGAATTTCACAGCTGTATGAATACAAGCATGAGAGCCAGAGTGGCGTAGTGGTTTGAATGTTGAACTACAACTCTGGGGACCAGGGTTCGATCCCCAGCTCAGTCATGAAACCCACTGGGTGATCTTGGTCAAGTCACATACTCTCAGCCTCAAGGAAAGGCAATGTCAAATCTTCTCTGAAATCTTGCCAAGAAAATGATAGGCTCACCTTAGGGTTGCCATGCATCAGAAACAACTTGAAGGCACACAACAACAAAATGGATACAAACAGCATAATGCCAGTTTCTTCAAACTGAACATCAATTATACTGGTTTTACTAGTATATTACCTGTAGTACTGAGTTGAATAACTTGTAGAATACCAGTCCAAATGCAACTACTTTCAGCCACATAACTGTGGTTTCTCTTGATACTTTACAATCCATGTTTGCTCAGTTTCACAAATGTAGCAAGGAAGGTTTATAGCAGCATTTATGGAGCACATTCAGTATGTTGGTTCAGGATACTATGTGAGTCTTCAACAGGGATTTATGAGGCTGTTAAGTGAAATTCTTGCACGATGCAGAAAATGCACAGCTGCATGGCAACTACACATGGAGAAGCATGCATTCCAATTAGAATGCATGTCTTGCACACCAGACGCCATTGCTGGACAGTATTTTTATTCCCTCCATTTCCTCGCTTCTCCACAAACTGTGGTCTTGGCCTGGCTAATTAAGCTAGAATTTGGGGGTCAGAGGTCTCCAGAACAGGGTTCAGGTCAGCCTGGACAGGGCATCAGGGTCTGAGAGTAACAAGGAGGATGACCCAGAAGGAAGAATGTTTAATTGAAACTAAACTAAATGAAATCCATTATTCAATGAACATTAGGGCTGGAAAGACAAAAAAATTACTGGCTAGAGAAGATGACAAGAGGAAACATAGTCATAGACGAACTTCAACCACTACAAGCAGGAGAATGTCTGGTTTTATTTTTCACTATCACTTTCCAAAATACTGAAAATCAATTTGATATAGAATATACTAATACACCAAACAGAAAAACTTGGTGCAGCTTTTCCCTTAATGTATGGCCTCTAGTTCACACTAGAATGTGTCCTCATCATTTTTTCTCACATGGAAAAGTCTTTAAAACTATGACACACCCATTAATTGATGTCTGTGGTTGTCAAGTCCAGAGTTGTTCCAAAAAACTTACTCTACATGAAGTGCCCCTTAGCATTACAATCCCTTGAAATAGCAGTTGCAACCACACTCCTTCATCTGTTGATTGGGGAAACCTTGACAGGCACCAAGGAACCCACAACATGGATCCTTCCTTCACCCCACTATGAACACCAACATGAGAACTACTTTCCTTTGTATTCCCTTCGTTTGGGGTATCTGGGGTCAGCTGGACAGCTTTTAGAGCAGGAACAGAGAGCCTGGGGCTGCCAGACGTTGCTGCACCACAACTCCCATCATCACTCACCATGGTGTTTGGAGTAATCCATCATCATTTGGGGAAACACTTGGTTCTCCATTAGGATTGCCAGAACAAAATCTGAAGGTGTTTCTTACACCTTTCAAGGTTGTGTAGAAGAGGGAATTTCAGTAGGTGTTGCTTGTCAACTGGTTGCACAACAAGCAACACCTGCTTAAATTCCCACTTCTACACAACTATTAAATGAAAAGGATCCCTCTTCAATTTTCACTCTGGCAACCCATCATTGTCTTAGGGGGGAAATCTGTTTTGTTTTGTTTGTTATTTTTTAGCAGAGAGAGCATGCAACTGGTTTACACACTCTTAACACTAAGTCAAAACAAGCTAGTAAAATCAATAAAGTAACTGTTTTTTAATAGCACAGGTTAGAGAACCACTAACAGTTAATAAAAGAAAACAGGTGGCAGCAAACACAATAGACAGCATAATTAAATAGCACCTTCTACACTCAATTGCTCAACCTCTCTTCTCCCGGCTCTTGTGAAAACCGCAAGTGACAGCTGCTAATCATGTTATTTAATGCAAGGAAAGCCAGGTGTTTGGGAATTACAGTGATGTGATCACCGTATGAACCCAAAATGGAAACAGCTAAAGCATCATTAACACCATTGTTCAGACCAATTGCAGCAGACAGCCTGAACTCTACTGAAGACCTCCTCACCCCATTTTCTCCCACAACTGTCAGCAACAAACCAGAAAGATCTTGCCAACGTTTCTCATATTGTTACCTTTAAATTCTACTGCATGATCTGCACTACATCATGGTTCCTGTACATCCGTGCCCTTGAACTCAACAATGTCCCCTTCTCACCAATATTGCTTTCATACCAGTCTCCCCTCCCTAGCATCCTCCCATCCTTGGCTCCTTTTCTTCCCATTGCTTGAGGCTAGTTTTCTCACCAGTTTAAGTTAACATTAATAATTAAACAAAGCAGAGAAAGAGATACCAGCTCAGTAACAGCCCTCTGCTACAATGCAGAATTCTCCTGCCCCACCCCCTCTGCAATCTTAGCCTACGGAAAATAGTGTAACCATCCTATTTCATACATTACCATGCACCAGTGATCATGACTGTAAGTTTATTATCCTCCTAAACCAAAAAGAGAGAGAAATATCAGAGAGAAAACATACAAATAACTCTTGGTTATAAAGAGGGGGGAAAGCTATGACAGAAGCAATCAAACCTCTACCAGCTTAAAAATCAGTTTGGCGAAACATGCCCATATTAAACTGTAGTCTGTTCAACCTCCTGGATTTGCCAGGCTATTGGGGGAAATTATTTTAAGCCTAATTAACATGAAATTTGGGAGAATGCAAATGCATTTTTTAATACTGAGACACAAACCAAAATGCCATGATGTTTCTTCCATCCATTTATTATAAACAAGTTAATTACTGTGTAACAAATGGGCACCCACTGGATTCTCAATGTTTGGAAGATGTTAGAGAGCTGAGTCAGGCAAAGAAGATGAACCACAAAGTAGTAGTTAATAGCTTATGGCATACTTATAATAAAACAATGATTCTGTGAAAGCTTTTGTTGTCAAATTAAGGCTAAGCCATTTCCATTGGAATAACTCGATTATAAAGTAGTCATTACATTATCTGTTTAACTTGATTCCAAGCAGGAAGAATGCTAGGAGCATGTGTGCTTGTCTTAATCTTGATGCAATGGAAGGAGAAGTTATGCCTGTCCAAAGATGAGTGCATAGCTGAACATGAAAACTGAAATATTGTTTGAATACCTACAACATACACACAAACACTACTCTAATTCATTTGCTGACCAAGTAGACTTTAAAATGAGACAAGACAGCCCTGCCCAGTGGCACTTGCTGGTTCCTATGCCAAAAGGGTTTTAGTCCAAACCTTGAAGGTGACATCCAGGTGCAGAACACTAAACTCAAAATTGTTTCAGCACATGAGGTAGCTCCTTGGGTGAAAATCTGAAATGGAATAACTCAGGGGTAGGCAACCTTTCCCCTTTAAGGGCCGAGGGACTTCAGCTCCCAGAAGCCTCAGCCATGTTGGCCAATAGTCCCATGTTGGCCAACAGCTCCTGGGATTCTGGGAGCTGAAGTCCCTTGGCCCTTAAAGGGGAAAGGTTGCCTACCCCTGGAATAACTGTTACATTGCCACTAGCTGTTCTGGGGAATGTCATCCCATCCCTGGTACTGAAGAAAGGATCACCTGTCAGTCTAGTGGGCTTTTATACATGAATAGAATGGGGGATATTTTTTTTCATCCAGGCCTGCTCACATGTGTTCTATTTCAGCAGGATACAATTTCTCCTTAAATGATAGATATTTGGAACTCCTTTTTAGGATCCAGATCAATCAACTACCAAGGGAAATAGAGATGGTTGTTGTTGTTGCTGTTGTTGTATGCCTTAAAGTCATTTCCAACTTATGGCAACCCTAAGGCAAACCTATCATGGTTTTCTGTGGCTGGGAGTGTGTGACTCACCCAAGGTCATCCAGTGGGATTCCATGGCTGAATGAGGAACTGAACCCTGGGTTCCAGAGTCGTGGTCCAATGCTCAAGCCATTACACCATGCTGGCTCTTACCCTTCCTCAATGCAGGCTCATACAACAGTCAAAGTCCTTGGAAAAGTCATTAGAGATTGCTTCCTGATGCCAACGTGGAGGATGGCCTTTTGGAATGCCCTTGCCTCTGCCACTTGGAAAGCATCAGCTATGGTGTGTTTTAGGCATCTGGTAAAGATTTGCCTCTTAACCTAAGACTTTTTATTATTATTATTGTGCTGCTCTGTTTCATGTTTGAACTTCTGGTTTTACAACTGGAATCTTCTTATGGCTTTACTACTTTTGTGACATTGCATAAGGAAGATATCCATCTAATCCTTAAATATTCTTACAAAAGATGGCACCTAGCATAGCTCCACACACATTGACTGACCAAGGGAGTGTGCCAGTTTCTCATCCCACCAGCCTGGCTGCTGCCTTCCCTTTCCATCACCCAGACCTCCACCTGAGTCTGCTGGCAAAACATATCACCCATCACAACATCACCAAAGACGAATGGCATAAGCAGCTCCTGTAGTATTCTTGTTCTTTCAGTATGGATCTATAATAAGCTTAGGAAACAATAGTTACACCTCAGCTCCCATCTTTTATCAACAGCTATGCTGACTAGGTCAAGCAGAGTTCAGGAAAGGAAGAGGCACCAGGGATCACACTGCAAATATATGATAGCTAATGGAGCGTAGCAGGGAGTTCCAAAAGAAAATCATCATGCTCTTTATAGACTATAGCAAAGCCTTTGATTGCATAGATCATGAAAGGCTATAGAATGCCCTTAAAGACATGGGAGTGCCAATACATCTGACAGTCGAATGAGGAGTCTGTACTCAGGACAAGAAGCTACTGCCAGAACAGATCATGGAGAAACAGAATGGTTCCCAATTGGCAAAGGAGTCAGACAAGGCTGAATCCTACCTATTCAACTTAGATGCAGATCATATTGTAAGGAAAGCAGGCTTGGACATGAAAGGGGGAGAAGTGAAAATAGGAGGAAGAAATATCAACAATCTGAGATATGTTGACGACACCATAATACTAACAGAAAACCTAGCAGACCTGGAACAACTACTAAGGAAGA